TACCAAATGTCTGGGAGCCTGGAACCAGATCTTGGGTCAAGCTTTTCCCCAGTCACAAATTGCTGATAGAAAATGTATAAAGTAGTCTGGAAGGAGACAGCACTCCGCACTTTGGAGCTGAAGGCAAGCATGCAATTCAGCCAGGCTCATCAATATCCCTTTTGGAGCCCACAGCCAGCACACAGAACAATGAGGAAGGAGCTCCTCCTGGCAATCAAAAGCTGTTTCTGTGACTAACCTGTGAAGGAAACAAATCCTTTTATCACCTCATCAAGGAATTTGTTTCTTCCAAACGTCAAAGTCATTTTAACATAGTTGTTAGTCACTACAGATCAATCTGCCTGGTGCAGTGCAGTTTGCAGACTGGGAGCAAGGCACAGAATATTTGCAGAAAGCAGGGCAGGGCAGACACCCTTCAGACCCCCCTCACCCCTGCTAGCTTCATGACCCTGACTGAAGCACCGTCCGAAAAAACGCCTCAGAAGCAGCAGCTGTGATGTTTCAAGATATTTCTGTGCTTTGTGGAACAATTTGGTGCACTGAGATGGAGATTTGTTTTATAATATTCTATTTAGGATGAATACAGCTGTCTCTTATCTATACAGACAGCAGAGTGGTGATAGTTAAATGTAAAAGGCTCTAGGGTACCTTTAGTTGAGGAATAGGATTCAAAGGCCTGGGTAATGCATTCCTTTTTCTGACATGTCCTTAATATATCCTGGGTGGTCATGACCACCTTTCTTCATGTTGAAATCAGAGTGGAAGTGGAGGACACCTTGCACTTACTGCAAGTTTGAGACGGTCTCCTACATGCAGTATAAAATGGGAGTCCTCCGGTGGGTAGGTGTAACGATAGGGAGACCCTCAGGTGTTGAACCTTCAGATAAACTAACTTCTGGAGACAGGATCGCATGAACATCAGCCATAGTGCCTTCAAACCTTTTCTGAGTAGGAAAGAAATATCTTTACAGAAAAAATATCTTCAATTTTTCCAGAATCTTAACTTTAAAGAAAATTTTTGGGGAAAAAAAACCCAACAACCAAATAAAAAAAAACCCAACCAAACAAAAAAGCCCAAACCTAAATTAAACAAAATATACCCTACTGCCCAAATCCAGGAAATCCAGGCTGTTTCATATTGGACTTGAAAACCACAAAGAATTAAGTCTGCCAAGAAGCACAGAGGTCTCAGAAGACTGATAACTGCAGAATAAAGATGTATACAGTCTGTTTTGCAGCTTAGCTTTTACCCCTTGCTTTGCTTTGTAGGATAAATTGTTCTGCCAATCCACAAATTCAATATTCAGTACATTAATGCAGCTGAGCTATGAATGGCCACTCTCAGTATGGTAATCCCACCAAAACTAATTGATAATGCTATCCACAGTTTCTGCCAGTCACACTGCTATCTTCCCTTTATAAAATGTTTGCAAGAAGCTAGGGAAATAAAAAGGCTAGGCTTTCAAAATAAAGTATCCCTTCTTTACAGAATGAAAAATGGAGGATACATTTTTGAAAGCTATCCTTTCACCTTTAGCACAATTTGGTCAATAGTTAGGTGTCTCTGCATGGGAATTTTTACAGATTTAAACAGTTTTTGGGTTTGCATGAAAACCTGACTGTCTGTGCTTTCTCAAAAGGCAAAGGCAACATTCAATCATGGGACTCTGTTCCCACCCTCCTCCTTAAATGCCAGCAGGAGGTGAGTTTATTCCTAAAAGTCTGACACAGGGTGCCTGAAATTGAACACTCAGAAATTATTACACCCCAAACTTGAGTCTGTCTTCAGCAGTTGAGGCATAGATGTCTCCATCTCCCAGGTTTGCCCTGCAGAAGGGTGACATCTGCTCCCACCTGAGAAGATGCAAAAGGCAGTGTTTATTCCTGCAAGCCAAATATCTCAAAGCAGCACTTGCCTTTTCAGCTCAGGAGTGATAGGCTACTATTTCCAAATATTTTTGGGATTCCTGGCTAGCCTTCCCATTCCAAGAGCACAATCTTACATCCACAGATCTTATATTTGCCAATGGTAGCACTCAGCTATTTAATGAGCTATCTGTGGTCAGAAACCAGTTGATAAAACTCCCAGTTGTACCAGCTGGCCTCAAAATAGAGCCAGCGTAATTGCAGACCAATGTTGAGATAACTGCTCAGGACAAGGATTCCTTCTTTTTGTATGAAATAGGTAGGAGCCCTTGACAATAACAACAATCCTCTGTATAAAGCTCATGCTCTATTAACCACAAAGCCCATGTCAACATAAATTCACTTAAGATGCAACACTGTAACATCTGGCATCGGTATGAGTAGACTAACATTGAGTGCTGCTTTATTTTGTCTCTTTAATACTTACTGACAGCCCTACCTCTCCAGCTACGTTGCAGCCATCTGGAAAATCATGAAAAGGTATTTGATTTAGCTTTCTCCCATACGACAATGCTATCCAGCTCAGCCTACATGTATTGAGTGGAGTGGTCAGCAGTTTGAGAATCATAGAAGAGTTAGTTGATGGCTTTTGGCTGTGTGATGACCTTTTTAGTTGCATGATCGCCTTTTTAGCGCAGACTGCAAGGCTATGTGGGGTTAAGGGGACCTCAGCGTGCAGCAATACAAGGGGCTCAGGAATGGTTGTGCTGCTGGGGGTTGAAGACCCCAGAGGCAGCATGAGTGAAGGAGATGGTCATTTGCATTGGGACAGAAGGGACGAAGGGGAACATGGTCCCTGCTCATCCAGACTCAGAGGGATGTCATTTCTGCCACCTTGTCCTAAGAGTGCTGCTGCTACCATGTGCTTGCTTCTGGTGTCCAGAGCCAAAGCTTGGTCCTGCAGGCATGCAGGAGCACCCACCAGCACGGGCAGGGCATGCCAGCACAGTCCAGTGCTTCACACAGTCCATGGCAGCAAGGGCAAACACGCAGAGAAAGGATAGATGGACACTGCCATGCAGGATCAGGCTTACTGCCCTGACACACTGGAAAAAATCAGAACCATTGCCTTTACAGCTGTCACAACATATTCTGGTTGTCACGATTCATCTCCCACCTCATGCACCAAAATAATTTTATTTGCTCTTATTGAAGCTTTTAAATTGCATTTCCAGAATTCATGCTATGATGAGACATACCAGGAGAAACAACACTTCCTTTTCTGTTTCATACGGGCTCAATTTCAAAATAACACAAAATCAAAACCAAGTTGTTTCAGAGGAATGTGTCCCACATGCTGTGTAAGCAGAGACTGCACCAGGCGAGGGACCAGTACAGATGGGTGCGAGACGAAGACAGACTCGAGGGTGGTCAGTACCTTTCCACATCACTTCTTGCATTGCTAAGTACAACTAGTGCAGATTCAACCATGTAATTGTGTTATAATTTCCTGGTCTTATTAAAAGAACTTCTAAAGGAAAATACCCCAACAGTAAAACTCATCCAGTGTGGTCCTTCACCACGTGTCTAGTTGTAATGTAATGACTCACATGCCTAAATAATTTAGTTATATGTGTTGTATACATGCAACATGAAATTTGGAAGAAATACTCAGCCACAATCTGCTGGATGGGGTGAGGATGAGATGCTTTCAGCCTGCCTTTAGCCATCTGCCTCTGTCCTCAGTGGAATGAGGAAGAGGCAGTTGCAGAGCAATTCATCCCATCCAAAATAAGCCTCTAAAATGCTTTCAAAATGTAAGCTGTTTTCTCTGTGAAACTTCCACTGCCATCCGTTGCAATTACTTATGTTGTAGGCCAGAGGGGAGCACAAAGGCTCATTGCCCAGCCTTAACAGGCCAGGTACACGCAGTCCCACACAAGCTTCCCATAGAAGTGACCTCTGAGAAAGATGCAGATGCTTACATTTGTATTTCTGCACCCTGAGCTTGGCAGAATTATCAGCATTTCTAGGATTTCTTTTTCTTGCTTTTTTATACTTTAAAATTTGCAAAGGGTGCTCGCACTCCGTGCGAGTGGAGCATGGTGGAAAGCATTTTCTCAAAGGTCACCTTTACAACACGTCTAACCACCAATGAGACCAGAGGAGATTTCTATAGCTGCTTCAAATTCATAATCACTCATTTTAAGGCCAAGTGGGGTCATCAGGTTATCAAGCCTTGCCTTGTGCATGACACAGGCTGCAGCATTTTCTGTATTTTTAAGTAGGATGAGGATTTTCACATTGACAATTGTGTAAGGTTTTATGCCTCGTTTTCTTTAAACCCCCGTGATTTGTTCCACTCTGAAGCCCTTCTCCTTTCCATTCCTCTTCTCCTCTGCTTGCCAAGCAGCAGGATTCTCCCAGTCCCTTCTCCTTTGCAAGGGACATTTGCTACCGCAGTGCCTGTGGCTGTCTCCATCTTCTTCATCCCTCTCCTCCAGCAACCTCCAACACTTTCAAACAGCAGCTGAAAAATGTCCTTTCCATCCCTGCTTCTACCTCCCCCTGCCACCAGCACTTACCTCATTTATACATGCATGAGATGTCTTTATAGACCCCAGAGCGCCTACTGAAAGATGCAGGGTGAATTCTGCACATGACATCAAATGAGACAATTTAACACTAGAGTTTTTTTTTAATAAACCTTTTCTCTCAAAATAATCATGCCATTATAAGGTAATTGAAAAAACAGTTCAAATAATTAATTACAAAACTATGCAAAGACTGAACTATACATTTATATTTGTGTACAGATTTTGCTCTTAATATTTAATCATTTGTCTGTAATAATAAATACTTGACTGGCAAATCAGTTTCTGCATACCATTAAAGAATTTACTTTCAAACTCAGTTTTATGTGCAGAATCAAACTTTCATTGTCAATAAAGTTGCAGCAGTATGTTAATGATAATGTACATTAAGGCTTGGGTCTGAATGAGCAGCCAAATAAGATGTTAAAATATTCTAAGAGAGCTCCAGTTTCTGATATGGATAGTTACATTTTCTTTTTGCAAGGAATGAGATGCATTTCAGGTTGATTAATTCTGTATGCCTGACTTTTATTTTTAACTGAAGTGTTTCTATATGATTGGTTACAATGAGAGCCATAACCTACGCTCATCCTACAACTATCCTCTCACTGATTGCACCTGGCATTGTGTAGATAAAGAGCACCAGGAAGACAATGAGAATAAGCAGAATTATGCCGATGATGATGTACTTCTTGTAATTTCTCCAGATCAGGTGATACAAACACTTCAAAGGATTTACGAACCAAGAGAAGGATGTGTCTGGACGGCTATAGGGGAAGGAAAAAAAAGGATTAAAACTTTTGTAAAGGCAGATCCACCTATTTCCAAAACTACCCCACTGCAAAACATATATTTGAGGACCTTTAAACCATGACACCACTAAAGAATTTAGAGGGAACTCTATGATTTTCACATACTATTAGGTTACTCTTTTTCCATCCATCCCCAAGCCCAAGCTCCCCACACCACTCAGAATGAGATTCCAGTTCACTTCATAACTACTCCAATTTAAAGCAAGATATGGGGTTCAAAAGCACAGACAAGATCATGATAAATCCTAAAGAAATGCAGACATCTTGACATTGAGTACAGAAGCTTTGTAATAATTGCAAGGAATTTAGCATTGCAAGAGGAGTAATGAGCCACTACAAAAAATCTGATTGCTCAGTGATACTCTTGATGTCATAACAGCCAGAGCCAGCTCAGGCCTGGCATATGGCCCAAAGTGGCATATTTTCAGAGGGAAATTTAAAACAGGCCTCCTGAAAAAAAGGAGATGAGATGAAACCCAAAATCTAGGTAGTTGCTTGGGTGCGTAAACAAGAGCCACCTTCTCTGGTGGAGAATATCCGCACTCTACAATCCTAATTGTTTTCCAAATGTCGACCCGTGTTGTATCCTGCTCCATAGCCCAGAGTTTCTTCACACTGTACAGCAAAGCTGGCTGTATACAGAGAGGAAAACAATGTTCTCCTCAGGAGAAACATTGGCATAACCTCTCCTGTGTTAGAGGTCCCTATGTCTCTGACTTCAACAGCCCTAGCCCTGCGATGAGCTGAGGCAACATCTGTCAGCTTTGTATGATGGGATGACCTGATGAGTACAGTGGTGTGGAGCAACACCACCAGCAAACTTGGGTGCAGGTTGCCTTTCATATCCAATATCACTGTAATTGTGCAGATGGTGCAGCAGTACGGAGAATGAAATTAAGACTGAAGGTCACAAAAAGCAAGGGCAGTGTTTCATTCCAGAAAGTTGTTTAAGGAATTTAAGCAATGTCTTAGGCACCTGGAGAATTCAGCATTCAGCATGTGGAAGGGAATGCCAATGTGACAGAAAGTCTGTAAATCTAAAAGGCCAACTGAATATCTTTTAATTAAGGACTGTGTTTCATATTGAAGTGGAAATGACTTGGAAATAAATCAACAAATAAGCCCTCAGTGTTTAAAGGAATTATTAAAAAAATAGATACTTTAAAGAGTAAAACTTACTGAATCACAGAGTTGAGTAAAAAAATCATTGGTCTACATGCTTTAACAACTAAAGGGCTTTTCATAACCTTTAAAGACAGAGGAAAAAGCCAGACTGTTGCTCATTTAATTTGTTTTCTTTGCAATGTAGGCAATAGAAGTCAGTAACAGTTATAGCAGCATATTTATTATAATAGAGTGCATCCAGAAAAGCATCCTCTCTTGATCAGCAGAGATGAAGAGATGGACAACCTCATAGTGCTTTGGCCAGCAGGAAGTCACACTCACTGCACCTTCTTTCTCATTTGCATGTTTCTCTTTAGGTCCTAGACATTTAATATTTGTCCACCTTTGCTCTGGTACATGAAAGAGTCTGCTAGTGTTTAGTAGCTCCTAGATGGTAATTTTGGTTTTGAAATTATTTTGTTTCTTAATTTAAAAACTTAATTATGCTAAACAATCTGAAAATATCTCTGCTTCTCTGTGTGAGTCTACATGATTGGCAAAAAAAAAAAGTGAACCTGTAGTACTGGCACAGAGATACGGAGCTCCTGCCACAGAGCTCCTCAAGATACACTTTTTTCTGAAGAGATTTCCATCACTCGGGGGCACTGAGCTGGTAAACTTTAATACCAGCTTTAGGGAACTGAGGCATGCAATGTCTTCAGCTATTAGTTTATTTTCTTTCCAGTAAGTGAGCATCTAGCTAAAATAGTATTTACTATACACATGCTGATACTGTTTTAGTAACCCTCGGATTTATTTTGCTCAACTTTGAAACTTAGGTGCCCAGCCTGGTCAGTCATGGGCTGTCTGCACATGGAGAGGAGGACCTACCTTCTGGAGGACATCACCTCTTTCCCCAGATCCCATCTTAAGAGATGTGTGTTAGGAAAATGCGGTGACTCCCCAGAGGTATGTACATAGCTGTACATAAGCAGGTACAAAAGGAGCCTGCTTGTTTCTGAGATGGGTGATGTCAAATGAGATTGGCCCTACCCTAATTTTAATTTAATTGAGGCATGCATCTCGGTTAAGAGTAGAACTGAACTAAGCCGTGTGTATGCTGTGTATTTCATCATAAAAACCTAGATGTGGAGCCTCTCTAGTTACTTAGGGCAAGATCTGGAGGAAGACTCTGGTTTTGTGGCTTCTGAGTCAAAACACCTCCAGGGTGGCTGTGCAGCAGAGAAGGGGCCACCAGACTAGTGACAACCTTTGGGCCTAACCACACATTTGTGGATAAAATGCCCTTGAGGTGATAAGACAGAGAGGCCTGGAGCCCCCGGCTACCTGGGGTTGCGTGGCCTGGGCCTGAAAAAGTGAGAGGAAAATGAGAGTGCCTTTGCTTCCCACCACACATATCTCAGAGCTATCCCAGTCTTCTCTGCAAGACAGTGCTTTATTTTCCACTACTGGGAATCTCGCAGACAGATGTTTGTCAGGCATAACTCATCCTGCCTTTAGGTAAAGATGTTGGGTGAAATGACTGATTAAAGTCATTCCAAGGCAAATTTTCAACACATTTCTGATACCTTTAATTTTCAGGCTAAATTTATACCCTTTGTAGCAGTATTTGGAATTCTAGATTTCTGCTGTTTTCCCCTTTTTGATGTTTATCCTGAGATATATCTCAAACCAACAAAATTAAACAGAATGTACAATGATTACCATTAAGATTAGGAATTGATTTTTAGAAGCTTTAGTAGCAGGAATTATAACATCAATTTATTTATTTCTTTTTCTTTTTTCTTTTTTTTTGTAGCTTATTACTTTAGCAGAAAGAAGTGCTTGAGCCAAAATAATAATATGTTTTTTCTGACTGCAAAAATCTCAGCTGATAACATTATTTTCATGTGTTAAATACTGAAAGGTAAAATGTTCCCTGATGCAATGCAAACTTGATGTATGCAGAGGTCAGTTTTCCACTGATATGTACCAACTAAGACACCTTCAAATGTGTGCAGATAGTTCTTTTTTTCTAATACTAAGACTCCTAATGGGCAGATTAAAAAACAAACAGACATGGAAAATATTTCTTACAGTAATTTTAAAGCACTTAAACATTAATAGCTTGTAGTTATTCTCTTACTGTAATAAGTATCATCCCTCTGATTTTTATAGGAGATCAAACAGAGGTGCTGGGTGTATGCATAAATTATACAGTGGTTTCAGGGATTATCATGTGCCAGCTCAGCTGTGGAATGAGCCTGCGTGTGAACTCTAGCTGAGGACAAATGTGCAGCAATGCAATACATTGGGCTTCCAGAGGAAGGCATTTCGGCTGACCTGGAAAGTGCTGCCAGCTACGAGTGCTGGCAGCCAGCCCCATCATGAGGGAGCCCAGTGATGCACAAGTTGGCCAAATGGCTTGCTCAAAGTTACAGCAGGAAAGAGGAGAAAAGCCAGGAGGAGAGCAAGGAGAGCTGCTCTTTCCCATTTCCATCTGAATGCCCCTGCCCCAGCTTGTTTAATGCATATGCTCCTACTCACTTGGGTTTCTCCAAGGGCTCGGGCTCCTTTCGGGCTTTGCCTACTGGATTCTTCTCAGCTTCTTCTGCTGTGACTAAGTGAAACTCAGCTTCCACCTTGCCCTGGATCAGAGACATCATATGTAAGCATCTAGTCCTGGGTTATTATAAATTAAAACACAGCAGGATTCATCTTGTGGAGAAATTATGGAACCAGCTGAGGGTGAAAGAAATTAATTAATGAAAATAAGATAAAGTCTTCGCAGATAAAGAGAAAGTACAAAGGAAAACCCAAGTACCAAATTCCCGACTTATTCTCAAGGACCATGACGAAAGAGAAGTAGTATGTTTCCTTCCAGACCCATCTTTTCTGCTTCCTAAATTATAACATAATTGATCTGAGCAGACCTGTCTCCTTTGTATCACTCATCCCAGCAAAGCTGAACAGCAGAGCTGGAAGTTGTGCTGCTGGCGTGGACAAGGGTCCACCAACAGGGGAAGACTCATCCAGTCTCAAGTGCTGGAGCAGCTGAGCTGTGGGGTCTCAGCTTATAGAAGGAAGATGGCTAGAAATTAAATCTTAGTGCAGAAAACATCACACAGTCCTAGAGCTCTGTTCAAGCTAAAAGAACAGGGGGTCAGCACATGGATTCTGTCAATTTTCTTCATGGATGGCCAGAAGATGGTACTTAGAGCTGTGACAGAAGGACAACTTTGTTCAGAACCAACTTACTGATCATGTCTAGGATTCTGAAAAGTCACAAGGGAATCTAACTGCTGCTTTATCACTTGTTTTCACTGTGACAAGCCACTAAAGTGTGTTGAGTGACCAATAAAACATTAGCACTTATAAAAGATTATGCCTGCTACACCTTGCAGTAAAAACATGTATTTTGAGTTATTTGGACTCTGTACCAACTGTTAACTTCTGATATGGAAGTTAGAGCTTCCTAAATATTGGTTAAATCTTTGTTTTCCCCTCGCACTTACAGCAACAAATCTGATGATAATTCTGCATAAGTTAGGTGACAGAGAAGCTCTCCCTTTTCCCTGTTCATCCAGGTCTGTTCTTCAGTACTATCGCCAGTATAATTTAATGAGGCCAAAGAGAAAAAATTAAGAGCTCCAAGATTTAAAGAATCCAGTAACAATTAAGAATGGGTAAATCAAATCAACTTCATAAAATCCGTGTTGGATGAAAACCAGACAAATAGCTTTTCATGTATTTGGTATTTTCCTACCCCATACTTTTTTTGGTATCAAAAACCTAAACTGTCAATCCATCACCAGTGGCTGAGTCAGCACAGAACCAGGCTGAAAGAAGGATGCAGATAAAAAGAATCAAAGTGGAAGAAAAGGGAATCAAGACATGAAAGTGGACAGGGAGAAAGAGAATCAGTTGTACTAGAACTGAGAAAATGGAGGTAAAGAAGGAATTTGGGAGTGGAATCCATTCACAAAATCCATGGAATATACATCATCACTTTCAATCTGAAGGCAGCAATGAATATGGCACTTTTTATTAAAACTTTCTTCTTGCTGGGAGGAACAGAAACAGGAAGGAAGAGGGAGGTTTAGAAAAACCCTTGAAGAGTCACTGAAAGTCTAGAAGGGGAGGGAGATCCCCTAAAAAAGGGCCAAAGCAGGTGAATTTGTAGAGGGCTATACGACAGGAAGGTAGCTGGTAGCTCGCTATGTCCCCACAGCGATCTGGATGCACCTAAAAAGACTCCAATGATGCTAATGCCAGAACTGGGCTGCAGGGATGCCCAGGTTTGAGTTCAAGCTCCCAAGGTGCTCTGTGGCCATAGTAGGACATCACCACACATTTTTCTTAGCTAGCTGACATAGCAGGAAACAAGCACAAAGCAGAGCTGTGTGAGCTGGTGAAGGAAAATGAAGAAGCTGTGTTAAACACTGAGAATTTCAGTGTAGCTCCAGGTTATACACAGGAAACACTACAACATTATGAAGAGAAGCTGCAACAGAAAACCCTGGCATAAATGGCTAGGTACATGCTGAGTGAGATTTACATACTGCTGCAAGCCCTGTTATGATAGAGGTTTCAGTTAAATGAAAATTTGTGTGGCAGCATTTATATTCTTCTTAGGAGGATACTTCTAACATAACAAGTAATGTAGAGGTTTTGGGGAGCTGTCATTGTCCTTTGCATTCCTTTATAACAATTGAATCCTGCCACTAAAACAAACAAAAAAGCACCTTACTAAGCAGACTTGAACAGGAAGAGGGGACTGTGCACTTTCTACTAGAGATGTGTCACTAGCAAGGACAATAATGGTAGACTTCAAAATCAGGTCCTTCACCCTGGTTGAAGTGAGAAATAAACAGAAAAGAAATAAATAAACAGGTGAGATTCTTCCCAGGATTTCCTCAGCTGACATAAAGCTGGCTGGAAACACCTGATTTTCCACTCTCCCCATCCGATGTGCTGGGGGACGAACAGTGGAAGAAAGGAAAAAAAAAATAAATTACAAAGTGTTCTGGTTGCCTGGGATTATCTGAACCAAGTATATGGGGACCACTGGAGCATTTGGAGGAGCCCTATGGTGGTGGTTGTTCTTCAGATGCTGTATCCAAATTAGCATGTGTCGGTCTCAGGATCTCTGCAAAGCTCTGAAAAGCTGTTCATCTGCAGTGAGCTGCCTACCGTGAGCTCCCCAGCCTTGATGAAAGGCCACCAGCCTCTGATGCGCTTCTGCTGAAATATGGAGATCTTGTTGTCTTCGCTTGCTGCCACAACCATGCCTAGGTCACAGCTCTTGGCTGTCTTTGCTGCTCGAGGGAACCCATTCAGGTTCAGTTCAAGAGTGCCTGGAGGGAGAAGCAAAGTGATAACACTCAGACCAGACAGGCACAAAGGAATTCAAACAGCAGCTTCCAGGTGAAGTTACATGGAGCAATGCAGGAGCTTGGGCCCAAGCTTCAGAGCTGGGGCTCTCTCTGTACCATCAGCCATTCATTTATATTGCCTTTGCAACATCTCATTGGAGTTTCTAACTATTCCCTCTCCAACAAATGTGTAAGTTCACAATGTGGTGCCTCAGAGAAAGACAAGCAAAAGTTGGGGTTCAACCATCTCTTTGTACATACCTCTATAAAATACAGGTCTGGTGAGACCTCAGGTGAAGTTCGGGTAGGTCCATTGCATACTCACCCAAGAAATCATCTGAAGAGAGTCTTTCAAAGTCCCACACCTGAAGCACCAGCTCAGCAGGTATTTTGCGCTCTGTCTTTTCCAAGGAAAATATGTTTTCTCTTTTACTAACCACCATTTGTTTCTCTGCTGGGAGATAGTGGAATGGGAACACAAAGCGCCAGTTGAAGTTGCCCTCTCCTGTCAAGGAGTTGTAATGTACATCTGTCTCCTGCTTGTCCTCTTCCAAGCCCTTTATCCACCTATGGCAAGCACATAATGAAATACATTACTGTCACCACGGGAGCTGGAGTTGAGTTTGTTGTTATTCAGTTACAGGCATGATCATTTACTAATTCCTCCCCAAGCAGTATGTGGTAATTGGTATCCCACATTCTGGGCTATGACACGGAGTGACAGTCCTGGATCGGTGATCTCGGCCACCTCCCAGCCCTGGCACAGGCTGCAGCAATGGCCAGTGATGGTCAAAAGCTGAGGGTGAGAACGTGATTTTAATTTTGATCAGACCCCAATATGCCATTTGGCCATTTACTATGGACCAAGACATCTGTCTTCTTTGGGACAGGCAAAGACAGCATCAGCCATTTATCCTCTACTACTCACCCTGTATTCATGTTGTGCTACACTAATAAATTCTCTGTCGATATCCCGGGACTGATTAAAGTGCTCAGTATTAGAATCTAAACCATTTGCAGTTGTGGTTTGGGGGGTGTAAATATGCCATAAATATGTCTGGAGAAGTCTCCCTGTCTTATCTTGTGACTTCCTCTTGGTTTCGCTACAGTGTGCACAACATCTGATGTGCAAAGTTAAGTTACAAAAGAGCAATGCTTTCCTAAACATAATCTTCTCTTCTGAATAGATCCACTGAGGTAATAATCCTGCTAGGTATGTTTAAGTTCTGAAGATGATTTATCACAGCCTGAGTAAAGATTAGAATTTTTGTGCTACATCCAAAGATTTGCCTTTCCCATTATTTAAAAAAAAAATTAAAAAAATTGAGAAAACGAGTAACAATCCCAAGCACGGCACTGACCCCAGTGCAAACCCATGCCTGGTGATGGATTCAGTGTCACATGCACTATCTGAGCATAATGAGATTTGTGTCTTCATTTAGATGTATCTGTGTGAAAAGCAGTGATTTCAAAGTAGCTCATCTCAGGGAACTGCACAGGGAGGTTTGCTCAGCCTTTTTATGCAATAACTGCACTTGCAGCACGTGGGGGGCCATGTGGTTGTGTTAGTGCCTTCTTCACCTGGGCTAATATTGCCTGCTCCAAAGGAGTCATACCACTCCTGGTGCCTCACAAAGCTTGGTCAGAGCTAATGCAAGTTTCCCTGGTAAAATGCATGTAGACATACCCTAGAAAGCATTAAGAGCTACTACCAGACTGCTCTGTCCTTATGCTTACATTGGATTTCGTATTATGTTCAGGTGATTTTCAGAACCTGCAAAGTGGAAAACATCCTCCCTTCACTGCTCTGTCAGTCCCAGTGCTCCCAGTTCCAGCTCTTTGCATCTGGTCACTGGCTGCAACATTCTATGCCTAGTGCTCTACAAATTCAGATTTCTCCAGGACTCCACAATGACACAATTTATGCCGGCATGTTAATCTCACTTTCTAGTCATGGAAACACAGCAAGAAATCTAAGACCAGTCTCTCACTTGGTATTTCCAATACTTCCTACTGCCACTTGCCATAGTTTCTACCCAACCCTATCTGGTACCTGCACTCAAGTCCTGCTCAGAAGCAGAAAGTGCAAAGCAGTACTCCAAAATGGGCAAGTAATTTTAGGAAGTAACTTGCTACAATCTGAGGAAAGAGCTGATTTGAGGGTCAAGTTCCTCTTTTGCTCTATTTTCATTTAGTTTATGTGAAATCCTTCCCGCTTACTGATTATCGCAGTAACATCTCTGAAGCTGTGTTAGGCATTTTGTCTGCAGCAGGAAGGAGATGGAGGGGAGAAAGTGCCCAAGCAATGTTCTCCCCAGCATGGCCATGGTCATTCACCAACACACACTCCCCACATGAGGCTAAAAAATATTTCCTATGCAAATAGCCTGGAATACATCTGCTTTCTTGTTTCTAATGTGGTCATAATTCCTTTTTATCTGATTATTTTATACCTCTCTGCATCTGTGTAAGTCCTAATACTTCAAATTCTGTGTTTGATCTCTGCTTGCTAAACTATGGGCTCGGTCTCTTCTGTCATCTCTGCCTGAGGGGAAAGTAAGGACTATAAAATAGCACTGAAAGTGTTCTCTTACAGATACTCAATTTTAAGAAGGGGAGGGAGGGGAAAGCAGAAGTATCCAACATAGATAAGTAATTTGGACAGCATTTAGAGCAAAGTGCCAAGGTCACAGAAATAGCTCCTCAGATATTCTCACAACATAATTTTTTTGGCTGATCTTCAAATGAATTATTATTTGCCCTTTTGAAGACAAGTCCTGAATAACTTACCCTTTTACATAGATATCACTTGATTTTTGCCCTGTAAAGATATTTTCATCTTCTAGAATTACATCCTCTGTATTCCAGATTATCACCCTCAGTTCATAGCTGAAAAAGAATAGAAAAAGGAATTTGCATAGCTTATATGACACCAGCAAATGGTCTTCTAAAGCATTTTTTAATATGCCTGTGTATACTGAAGCTCTGGTCCGACACTGATGTAAATCTATCAAATCATGCTTTTGTAAAGTGAGAAATGTTGTATCTGTGCAAAACTCTTAAAATAGCATCAGCCTCAGGCCCCTTCTGTTTATAAGAGTCTGGTGATAGAGTGGGGATGGTGGCTCCTCTTGTCTCTTGGATCAAGCTGGATGACAGCGGGGTCACTGCCAGCTGTGGAGGGATGGAAAATTCCTTGCTTTTTATGTGCCTGTTCCTTTTCAATTCTTTTCACAAAAATGCTGCAAGTGAAACAAGGCAAAGTTGATCTGAACAACATCATCAAAGCAGTCTTCAAAACAGTGAGAAGCTTGCTAATAAAAACCAGAGCTCCCTGGGAGGTGCTCTTCAGAAGAAATGCCTAAAAACATTGTATTTGGTGCAATCCAATGCATTAACAGGGAAGAGAAGCACTGTCTAGAGATATTTTTCATTTAAGCAAGTGCAATCATCTTTAAAAGCAACAGTAAAAGGAATTAAAGCTTTCTCATCCTTTCTACTCCCTATATACAGATATTTTTGGTGGCTGTCCAGAGCTCTAGAAGCTTGAACTGAAATACAGATGTTGCAGGTGACATAAAATTGATATTCGAAAGTTTGGGTATGGTATGCCTTGAGACATTGTATGAACTGCAACATTTTAAAAAATAGTATGTTTAAGAACACCAGTATATGATTTTTCGAACATCAGTATACGATGTGTTATCTTGGAAATAGCCTCTATCTCAGGTGTGAAACAGTTTGCCCCAGAAGTTACCAGTCATGGGGCTCTCAAGGAGATGTCAACCATCAAAACCAAGCCTCTGCAGTAGCCAAGGAGACATTCGTCTGCAGTGCACTATCAGATCCTTGTTCAGTTGAAAATCATCAACAAAAAATGTTTCCACAAAGCCTTTGAAACTTTGTGGAGACTGGAGCCTGTTTTGCTGCAGCAAATATGCATTTCTTAGCAAAGTGTGTAACTTGTGTTTGTATGTTTACTTTCTTTCTCACCATTAACTTTTTGACAATATTTTTCCTTTGCTTATGTAGACTACAAAGACAGCAACATTTTGGTTTTGCGAGTATGATTAGTTTTAAATCTTTTTGACTTGGAAAATGCTTGTTGTTAAGGAGCTTTACAGAAAGTTCTGGTCTGAAGAAAGTAACTTCTTATTTTTGTCAAATCTTGCCTTTTGTAAAAGGAAGGGAGAAGAAACAAGTTTTTATTACATTGTTTCTTGTTCAAACATAAATAGTAAAGGAATAGTGCCTGATGCTGCTTCAGATCTAGAATTCTCAGGAAAAAAGCTGATGCAGGATGGGCTGAAAACTTTATTGGTCTGTTCTGTGTTTCATTTACAAACATTAAACTAGCTTGAAGAGCTACATGTAATGTTGAATATAAAGCAGCATAAGTACAAATCTGAAATTTGAGAGACAGTTATTCCTAATTGTCGTGGTTTAACCCAGCAAACAGGACACTAATGTACCTCTTATGTCTGTTGCTGCTTTATGTGTTTCTTGATCTTATCTTTGAACCAAATGCTGGAAATCCAATAACTGTAATACTATTGCAGAAGATTAAAGATCTCAACCAGGGTCAAGTACGTTATCTAGCTGTAAGAGGTAGTGAAACCAGATGTAATTCTTTCAGCTCAACAAGTGGATGACAACATGAGAACTACTAAGGGGCTCTTGGCTCTATCCACCTGCAATCTCTATATGAAAAAATGATCTTTCTAAAGGAGGCGTGTTCTATCCCTTGATGCTAAAATCACAGTTCTTTGAGTTTTTTAATAGAAGAGACGGAAGTGGATGCTCTCTTTTGACTTGAAGTCATGTGAACCCAGGAAAACTTTTCTCAGTATGACAGAAGTGTCCTGTGATAGATCTCTTTATAGTTCTTTCCAGACACTTCAGAAGGAATCAGTCTTTGAAGACTTATGCCACTGTGCTGGGAGGAAAGCACAGACTATTACCCTTTGGGTTTTCTTGGTGAAATGTCCACTGGGGGTCCTGGCAGAGGCATATCTTGAGGAAACATGTCGACCCACATCTGTACACGACCCTTGGGAAAAAAACAACTCTGTAATCATATTTTAGAGAGACTTCAAATGTAGTTCTGACATTGAAAACAACCACTTTGTCTATGAGCACCAACCAGCTCAGTTACATTTATCTCATAACTATGATTTCATCTATAAACTTATGATACAATATATTTTTTCTTACACATATTCTGTCAATCTTGCAGGAATCTGCTGAAGTCGGAATTGACCATAAACATTGGCAACTTCAAGGTAAAATTCCATATCAAAATAGTACATGGTGAAAGGAAAAAGAGAACTAGATACAAGCACAACAGCTTGTGTTAACTAGCTAAAGCATTTAAAAGAATTAAAATATGCAGTCACATCTTACATGATTACTGTGTATTTAGGTAACTGGCTGTATTCATATGCGTGTGACAATTTCCAGGTTGATGCTGTACGAAGTTTTATGTATGGTTCAACATTTGGATGCTGTCTCTATGAGTTTGCAGATACAAACAGAAACCCCAGTAACTGGAGAAAAGGAAAACTACACCTGGGTCTACCATCACCACCATCTCTAAGCTGCTCTACCTGTTCCATGCCTGGCTTATCCTTGTGGTAGAGAGGCCGAGTCTCAATATGCTCTGGGACCAGTTTGTATCCAGCTCCAGGGATTTCTTCCCAAGCGCGTAAAACCTTTAAGGAGAGATGTTCGTATGATTCAACTGGCTTCTCTATAGAAAAGAGTAAAACAAAAAAAACAGAAAGCTGAATTACAATGTTGAACTCCTTGGTAATATGTTCCTTTAATTATTAAAGATGGTAATTAAAAATCTGCTTGAGTTAAAAGGAAGATTTTATTTATCCCAGCTAAGTAAAGAAAGGTCTTGAAATGTATTTAATTCTTGTAAATAAGGGTACCCACCAGGGTAACTATAAAATTAGCATTTAGGCAGCAGTTTATCTATGAAACACAGAATATCATTTCACCATTACAGCAGCAGTTTCTAACAGGAAGACAGAAAAGAACTTGTCAACTATTCTTTTTACAGAAAATTGCAAATGTGAGGCTTTTTTATGGTTCATGAAAGACAAGGAGACTTGGATTTTGATGGACCTGAGAGTAAATAGGCCCTAGGGGTTATATCTACATCTCATTTTGCTTTGTGATGGCAAGAGCAAAACAAAAATTGAAAGCTGTAATCACACCTTAAGAAAAGAGGGCTGAAGTCAAAGAACGTGTCTTGTCCTGACCAGCTCCTGACCCTCAGGAACCACTTCATATCTGTATTTCCCTCCTTCCTTCTTCTTTCTGCCTAGGTCTGTCCACACTAGTGTTTTAATTTAGATAAGGAATGCATTTTTGAAAACAGTCCCCCTGACTTCCCATGCTTTGGTTTGCTGTGTGGAAAGGTCTCAGTGCATGCAAGTTGCACTTCTTTCAGAAGAAACTAAGCCAAAAAAACATGTTCCAAGAGGGTCTGCTGCACTCCAACCAATCCTGGGCTCCCCATCCATGGGATCAGACAGGAGCTAATCCACTGTATCCCTCAACACCTACCATGGGGATGTCAGGTCATCAGCATTAACTTTCTCAGCCTACAGATTCTCTGCAGTTAAAGTACTGTAATAGCTAATAAAGACACAGCCTTCATTACCACAGTTATGAGTATTTCAAAGCAAACACAGGTTCCAGTAATCTGACTTTAGTGTACATTGTACAACAGGTCTCCAGCTGGGTAGTCTCTTGGTACTGCTACAATGCAGTTTAAAATTATGAACTACTTCATTACCGTTCTCATCTTCTGTGAAGACTGTCTGTCCCTTGAAGACTTTTGTTCCTACTTCTATCTCCCCTGGCCGCATGAAGGGTCCACATATTCTGTAGTCTTTACACAATTTAGTGAGGATCTCACTTGGCTTGGTTGCATCTCGCCATGCGTTGTACCCTTCTCTGCAAGGAGGGAACAGAGAGGGGAGAGAAATGGGCGAGGTTTTCCTTCAGGAAACATCACTGGCAAGTCAGGACTTCCTTCATGTCGAGGTCACTGACATCTGCTCAGCCAAACATTTCCTTTGAAATATACAGGACTACTTCTTACTTGAGACACTCCCTCTGCCTGCCAAGGTCCTGAAGCTGATCACTTTTTTACCTTAAAACATAGAACTTGACACAGCTTTACCCGCAGCTTGGGTAAAGTGGCCCAGGCATCAGCATTTTCCCAGGAGAAGGACCAGAGCTAATTCCCTGTTCTACCAAAAGGATTCATGGCTACATCTTCTACCTCCAGGATGCTAATTAAGGAAGAAGCATTCTGCTGCTCCCACATGCAGAGGAGAAACTGGGATTATCTTGGGACCTGGAACAAGGACATAAAGAAACACCTCATACTGGAGACTGAGCTGGGAAGGGAACTCTTGGGGTTTGGTCTGTGCTCCTGGATTGCTTTTTCTCTTTATCAATCCCTTGTTTGCTGATAAACTAGCAAAACAATCGTAGGAGAAGAAATACAACTCTCATCTCCAGGTTAGTGTCCAATCCCAGGGCAATGGAGTTATTTTAGTTTGACTTTCTCTGCATGTGACTTTCTGTGCATCTTTGTGCATCCTTGGGAGTGCAGCCCTGAGGGACCAGGAGCTCAGCACCACCACCCTGCCAGCAGCCCTGCTCTGCTCCCGTTCCCCCCAGCGCCACCCCTTGCTGCCATCACTCCACCCCTTGCTGCCATCATTCCAGTTGCAGCTCAGTGATGGAGAGCAGAGTAAAACTTTGTCATAACTTCTCTGACAGATTATTTTCCATTTGCCCTTTATGCCTGTTCAAAGGCAGTTTAGCAAGCAGGTATATTATCCATAAGCTGTTTACTATCTAAAATACTTGGTGAACAAACAGTGGTGGTAATTTTAAAACACCCACTTCCTTCTGCGGCTGGCAGCTATTCAAAGCCACTGCTAAGCTCTTTGGTGAAATTTAATTAAAATACCTCCTGTGACACTTTCATGCTGGAGAAAGCGTAATATTTAGCCACATTTGGAATTTCTCCTTCAAGTCAAGTCATTCTCTGTGTGCTGCCCTCTGTTGCTGTCTGAAGAGATACTTACATTTCATATTGACTTTGTAAGCCACAGGTAGCTCGATGCCTGCTGTAGAAACGATTTTCCAAATCAATTTTAGTCTCTCCAATGAGATCATCTGTTCCCACAAAGTCATGGTCGTAGATCAGGACTGTGAGCAAGGAATCCTTAGGGAATGTAGCTTGGATTTCAAATGATCTGCACCAAAAAATGAGAACTAAGTGCAGTCAAATCAGTTTTGAAGCCTAAAAGACTAAGTTCATTAGTACTGTGCAAACAACATGTGGACAGTGTCTCTTCTAATAAGTAGTAGGGGGTTTTGGGGGAGTATTTTTTGTTTTGATGAAATATCTGACCAGACTGGTAACATGCAGTGCAGTATTTCCTTCCTCCTGCTTCTCTACCACCCCCTGTACAGGATTGTTCTTACCTACAATGGACAGAGCAATGGGACAGAGCTGGTCAGCTGCAATGATTTATCCTGAATTCAATAGAAGTGGAAGTATAGGAATTACAAGGCTAAAGAAGCTGTATGTGTCAGAGTTCTCACATGCCTTTCAGAACCCTCAAAAGGGACATAAGAGTCTTTTCTGTTTTCTTCCAAAAGCTCCAGATTAAATACGAATATAGGGAGATCAGAGCACCCAGCAGAACAATCAGGCAAAAGCTTTAAAACAAGATTTGAAAAAGCAAAGATCAGAACTCCCTTTTCACTCAGTGCATTTTTCAGGCATAGGAATCATTGTCGTTGAAATGTTTAGGGAAGCAGAAACTATAAAAGTTATTTTAAAAGGGATTCGACAAATTAGTGGAAGACAGGACACCTTCATCAGCACAATACTGCTTCCAGATTTCTTCAAAGCCCAGGTGAAACTGAGCTTTGTCTTCTGAAGAATGAGTTTTGTCCTTTTTCTCAAAGTGGCCAAAGTAAATTTTGTAGCAACAGCACAGCAGTTTCTGGAGAATAGAGAGGCTTGAGAGCAGTCTGGGATTGCTGGAGGTTGGTGGTGCCAGGCTGACCAGGGCTTTTGGGATGGCGAAAGGTGATTACCATGACTGATGCTGCTGCTGTGAAGGACTTGCTGGTCCAGACACCCCAGTGTTGCCACTGGCATCAGCAGCAAGGACTGTCCAAATGAACAGACTATTCCTAATCTTGTTTACCACAAACAGTGGCCATTTCCCATTCCATCTGTATGCATGTATAATGACTTTATGGTTTATCATAATGATAGTTCAATTGCAACACCTACTAAGGAAGAGCTTAACTCACAGAAACTGAGATAGCATGCTATGGAGAGATCACTTCATTCCTGTCTTTTCTACACACTTTAATTCTCTGCTTTTGCAACAGGACCCCAACCTGGTGGGCTTTCAGTGCATCACAGTATAGTTTCTCTATCTTAACGTTCTTGCAGAATAACAGCATCTGAATTCAAAATATTTTCAGTCTTCTTAAAACAGGGAAACTTACTGGCAAAAAAATCACAGCTATTAGCATTAACAATATAAATAAGTATAAAGCACCGATAACACAATGATGATGTTTAGTGACAGCTTGCCCCTGGCTCCCCCATTCAGAAGACAGCGTGGGTTTAAAAAACTAGCTTTTTTTGTCCTAGTCTTAAAATGATGAGGTTTACTTGGCACTCTATTCAGCCCAAAATAGCAACAAAGACTGTGAAATCCCACTTTGCTGATATTTATTTTACTTAAATCTTAACAAATTAATTAATTTGCACAGACAAGATCGTTTGTTGCCTCATTTCCTCTCATGCATCATTTTGCAAAATCTCTCACAGATTGCATTCTGTGACTTGTTTTGATTGGTATGAAAATGAAATACTTTATAATCGTACAAGATGACATCAATTCTCAACATTTTAACCAGTAGAATGACAAAACATCCAAACAGGCAGATATCAGCATATAACAAACACTTTGTAACAGTAACAGCAATAGTGGTGGCAAGTGATAAACCAGAAATCACCCCTGAATAAGAAAATAAGCCATCACTGACCTTCCAAATACTGGGTTTAGCTGCTTGGGGATGTAGTTTTCCCTGTCTTTGATTTCTGTCTTGCCCAGTCTCAGCACAATGTAGGGATCTGACTTGCCATCTGGATCGGCTGGGCTGAGGTTAAACGCCTGTTAGGAAGAAAGATTGTGTCCTCAACAAGTTTGCTTAAATGCAGCATGGTCACGACATGGGACCATGTGTTTCCTACCCAGCTCTGGGTGTTCTGGAAGTGCAGGTTCGTGTAATACAAAATTTGGCATTTAGCTTTGCAGGCTACTTGGAAAAGATGAGCTGGAGGAGAAGAGAGTTTGAGAAAGCGGAACAGATGTAAGTGCTGTCCCACCACTAAATAAATGGAAAAATACATGAGCAGGAGAGGCAACGCTAAGGAAGAAGGTGGTTGTACAAGTGCCTGTAGGATTCAAGAAAGTTTTCCCAAAAACATTGGTCCAGATCCTTGAACAGCGCAAAACAGCTCCTCAGACTGTGTTTAGGAGATGGCTTGGAAGTCTTTTAATACAGGAAATAAAACAATCTCTTTCTATTCTTCTCTTCTGTTTTGTTTGTCAATGTCTCTTTACATCTCATTCTTCCCTTCTTAGATCACCTGCAACTCTCCGGTTTCTCTGAAATACCATCTCCTTCTACCCCTTTCACTTCCCACATCACACTCTCTCATCATCTTACCTATTGCATTTCTACTTCTTTCTCCGCCCCATAACTTATTCACAACATTTATCACTTTGATTGCATGTAATTCATAGCCCTCAAAAAATATGCTCAGATTTCCCCCTTACTGAGAAGGTTTTCTTTTAAATGTGTGTCATTTGGAAACAACTCTACTAATTAAAACGCTGCATTTGCATAATGTGGCTGGAACAGGTTGTCCATGCTATATTAGTTGTCTCCAGCCATTTCAGTTTGAACATGTAAAGTGATTCTCCAGTCTTGTGATTTATCATGAAGAATATGTAATATTTTCTACTCTAAATGTTCTTCTAAATCTATGACAAGAAACATTGTCTGAAATATGACCAAAAAAATTCTACCACACAGATGAGGATTTTCAGAAGCTTCACTGCAAAGACACTGGAGACAAACTGAGTTGAAAAGACATCCAACTTATTTCAAGGTTAAAAGAGCATCTGTCTACTTACTGCCACAATATAAACCCTGATGAGGACTTTGACGGAGTGGTTTGGTGGTATCCCTTGCAGGATGCGGGGCTGCACACTGTCCAACAAGCTGCCATCCTCAGGACTTGGGTATATGCAGAAGGAGCCCTGGTAATACACTCTCTTTTATCTCCCTCGAAAAGAGACCAAGTACAACACAAAACCAACCCTCTGAACACAAACAAAACATCATTCATGCAGCCTGTGTTGCAGCTCCTACATATACACAACACATTTTATGGTACCACTCCAAGGAAACACAGGCTTCAGTGCACTAAACATCATCTTTTAAAATGTCTTTGCCCTGTAACATGGTACTATCATCACAGTCTAGATGATTGCAAGAAGTACTGCCATGCTCTTAGCTCTCTGTTTTATTATTTAAAGGACTAACACCTGCAAGTGTTCTAAATCTAGTTTTCTTAGTATTAATATTCTAAAAATAATATTTTGCCCTTAACTCTATATTTGCAAATTGATGATTGCACTGAGTTAGTTTCACAGCACTGTGACTGGGTTCCAGCTGTACTTTTGCAGCCACTACTGCTCATATAAGTCAATATTGACTCATGTTCATACTGCCTGAAAGCAAGTAGCAAGTCATTTGAACAGAAATTTGCATTGCAAACTAATTGATGTATCAATGAGTTTAATCAGGTCCTCTAAACTTCAAAGTGCTTGAAATCATACTAACATTATTCACGCTTTGAACTACAATTTCAGATTGCCTAATGGGGCCCTGGATCATGCTGTGCAATTGTTTCGAACTGGAGTAGTTGTAAGGGGCTTCATTTAAATAACAGAAAATTACATATAAGGTGCTGAAACTGATAGTGCAGTAATAAAGTTGCACTAGCAGAATCTGAACTACCTAATACATCTCTTCTTTCCTTTCTGTGATTTAAAAGTTTTTGTAATTCCTTGTTTCAAAAGAGCAGTGAACATCTGGTGCTGGATGCTGCTTTCATCTGTCAGATAATGAGAAAGGAAAAATATGACTCTAGATCCAATAAAAGATAATTCTATTTACAACAGACTGTCAATGTCTTTTTCCTTCATCTTTGGTATACCTGAAATATGCATGGAAACATAAAGTCTCTAAATTCTTACCCATTTAATCAACATTAAAGCTCACCTTAAATTTTCCTATTATTCTGTCTTCAGAGTCAGCATGAACTTCGTCATTAGATTTTCCTCTGAAGAGTTGGAAAGTTTTCACCCAGTCCTCAAAGTTATTAAATTCACTCTCCAAATCTCCATCATAAATCTTTGAAAATAGGAGAATGCATATTTTTTGTGGTGCAGTGAATATCTTTATAGCAACTTTTTTATTACAGGATGACTAGAAATCCATTTTGACTCAAAATACAGATCATAATAAAACCAAGGTTTTGCAAAAGTCCTTGATGAAAAAAGTTAATTCCCCACTTAAAACAGGAGCAGTTTTGTCCTTAATCAAATTACTTCCCAGCTACTGGAATAGCACATGAATGCAGCAGGTGGCAGTGGCTCCAGAAGGGCCAGAATGAACATTTATAAGCAGTGATGTGGGTGAAAAACAGAGTGGATTTGCTGCTCTTTCCTTCTGCTTCCTCTCTGCAATGTGCCTTTGATGTACTGACCCTTTCTGTTATGTTAATGTGTCAGAACATGCAAAATTATTAGTGTCAGCAAAGCAGGCATTAATAAAATGCTGTGGGGACAGAGCTTTTGGATAGGTAAAAACACCAAATCACTTTTAAAAGGACATTTTTTTCCTTTCAACACTCTCCCTCTGCAATTTATGAAGTTTACTCAGTGTGAAATAGAAGGGCCTAGACTTGTGCTATCTCTTAAAAACTGGAAGCAGCAGTTTCAAATTCCCCTTTATTCAGCTACAATCTAATCCAAGCACTCCTGATCTTTTCAAATCTCCTCACCCCTCCAGTCATTCTGCATAACCCATATAGTTCTCTTTGAATTCCTTCTATCGTTATCCAACCAAATCTAATTTGAGCTGAATATTTACCTCCTCACCAGGGAGGATGCACTAGCAATTGCAGCAATGCTTTCCAGACTCTTTTTATGTCATTCTTAATAGGCTGTAATATTTTCAATATGAAATCTGAAATTTTCAATATGAAATCTGAAATTTCCAAATTCAGTGTTTTACAAGCAAACAACAAAACTGAATTTTCCCTTAAGTATCTCTGGGTGGGCCTATACTGGTAAATTGAAGGTCCAAGCGAACCACATCCACCCTACAAGACCCTGGTTTCCTCTGGGTCAGATGTGCTGATGTGCATTGTCACTATCATTTTGTGTGTTTTATTCATTTCAAAGTGTCTGAAATAAATGTAAGGAGCGTACTGCTAACCTTAGCTGCTGATGTCAAGCTTTTGGGAGACAGTGAATAACAGCCTGACCCCTCCACCTTACTTCTCCCTTACCTGCAGAGTTGCTAGGTTTGGAGTTTCTTTCTGTATCCTTTTCAATGTCTTATCCTTCTTCTTTTTGTCTGGCTCCTCTTCTATGATCAGTGCAATGTGGTCAGAAGTCTGCTTATCTGCAGAGGTTTCATGACATCATATAGGTTTTAGTGAGAAAAGCACATCGAATGTTTTAGATAAGGATAAAAATATGTTTTGAAGATTCCTCCTCACTCTTTCTCCACTCATTCTTCTAGTGTCAAGCACAAGTTTCTCTCTTTTCCCACTACTCCTCCCAAGCAATGAGGTGGATTCTATCCTCTCTGTCGGTGGACCAAGTGTGATGGTGTTCTATATCCCTCCTACCCTGCTGGCCATCTCCCATAATGCCCTTTTTCTTCCTTTCTGAGTCCTCCCAGATATAAACTAACAGATTTTAACAGCTTTCACATAAAATTTATGGCTTATTTAAAACTGGAAGCTGCTATTTAGGCTGTCTGGTACTTCAGATATCAGGAGATCCAAGTCCTTCTCTGTTCAAAGGCATCTCAAAATAGTGCATATCTCACCCTGGGAAAGCTCAGAAATACAAGAAATGAGAGGAGGTATCTGGCCAGCCTCAAGCCAGAGACTGAACACTGAGAGGGGGCTTCCCAACAAATAAAGGGTGAGCCCTCAAAACTGGCACTGACATGGTTCAACTCTTCAGTTATTTGGATTTTGAGTTCACCTTCCTTTTTAAAATAGTTTGTGTGTTTAATATCACTAAATATTTTGAAATATATATATATGTATATATCAGTGTAGGTTAAAATATGTAACAAAAACTACCAGAAGAGAATTTACAAGGTCTGAAGTCATCAGTCAAAAACAATATGCCACAACCGCAACTGCCTGAGTAGCATGTGGGTGGATGACACAATATCCAGTAAATATCTAATTGTAAGTGAACATCACACCTTTGTAGAATGTTTTCTATCTAGATATTTCTTCCATGTGGACAAGTGTGTTCCACTCAGAAACTGATCTCCACCTCTTCTCTCAGCAGCCCTGACAATATCTGAAGCACCATCAGCTGCTATTTCCCAAATGATACCATCTGACATTTAGACCGTGTCCTCCATCCACAGCAATCTCAACATCTCCTTCAAAACAGAAATCACCTCAATCCCTGATGAAGTGCAGTCAGCCCTGGCATGGGAAGAAACTACAGTTTCATTCTGAATAGCAGCTCTGTGTAAAGAGTAAGCATTTACTCTCCTTTCCCAGTCTGCTCAAGCAGTCACATTTGTAAAAAAATCTTCTAAAGCTCCATTTGTGGGGGGACCTGTTGAATCATGGACTATGCACGTATGGGGACATATATACATACACATACAAACACACACAGCTTATTTCTGGCCAATTCCTTTAGAGAGTTGTGCAAAATATTTTCCTCTTAAACCTGAGTTAGACACAAAGCTTTCCAGCTATGGAAGTAACACACATGACTATGGAGTCTCCTGACAGAATCTGTTCCTACATCACTGATCCTGGACTAGATTCAAAACTGAGAGAAGCTTCTTTTGCTGGACCTGTTACAAATGCACCTAAGATTAGGATAATCTTTACCTTCTGTCATTTAGGACTTTGGCTTTACAAATCTTTGTGCAAGAGAGTTGAATGACAGGAAACCCAGTACTGCCTGTGAAGTTTAACCTGCCTAACCTATCTGATCAGCTGTAGAGGAAAGAACCTCTTATACTGGCAGAACTCTGTTATCAGACATCAATTGCTGACAGTAAAAGAGTAGAGAAGCAAAGTATTAGTAGCACAAAATAATCGAAAAATGCAAATAATTTACTTACTGTCTTCAGGTTTTCCCTCGCTGGAAAATAATCCTTTTGCCTTTCAAAATAAAAAGATGATGGACAAACTCCTCATTATGAATGTAATATCAAAAAGGAACCATTCAGCAGTAAATCTACTTTTACAACAATGCACATCCATGAGAGTTTTGGGCATGCTGGCTAACTTACCTTTTGCATTTTGAGCACAGAAGCATAGTATTTTGACCACCAGTCAATAACATTTTCAGCTGACTCATCTGCAATTGTCCTTTTTCTCCTTTTTGTTGATCGTCGAGTGGACTTTTTCAGATCCTACCAAAGCATGGGGAAAACACTCTTGAACTCTAGAACTGATTAAAACTGATCACCTGACTTATGATGTCAAGCTGGAACAGATGTATATGAAGAAAATGTCAACCTCCAAGAGCTAAGTAAAATGCAATATTAATTAGCATCTATTTCAAGAGACCTCATCACGATCATTATATTATTAAAGTTATCTGTATGTTAGCACCTGATAGTGCCAAAACTTTGAACACTTGAGACATGCCACAGAAGCAATCCATACAACAGACAGATCTACAGAGAGAAATAGTTAAGGATGCTTTAAGGAATGTAAACATTCAGATATAAATTGTTTTCTCCCACTTAAGTCTGCAAGTATTTTAAGAACTTCCATTATTATTGTCTTTTGGAAGAAGAAAGAGTCCCAGCTGTTGCTGCAGTTCAGTTGTTCTCTTCTTAGAAAAAGCTAAAATCTGATTCTGAAGATCACCTGCTCATGTGGCAAATCTTACTTGGCTTAATTCTTGCCTAAGAAGGATTGGCCTTTGTTAAATAGAGTGTTTCATCCTACACCCTTACGAAGCATTGTCAATTTACCTGGGGAGGCCAAAAAAACCATAGAAAGGTGGGAATGATAATTAATATGACACAGTTAAATTACAGGTTTCCCTCTAGGAATAATTTCTTACTGTACTCTGCTGTTATACATTAAATTTGTACTGTAACAGGTGGAAGATCCAGTCTGGTGTTTATACCTAGGGAACAAGGCATCCCTGCAGTTTCTTTGACCTCCTAATTATGAAGGATGTTGGAAACATCAAAGGTTAAAGAAACACACTTTATGCAGCAGCAGAAACAGTTTCTGAAATGAAACTCAGTCCTGTGTCCTCTGCTTTTACTGTTGTTAACAAAAGAGTGATTTTGATGTGAGAAACTACAGAGAAAGGGAGAGCATCTGCAACTGAACAAAAAATAATATGCACAATCTATAGCATGTACTGAAACACCATGCTGACCAGAATTGCCTTGTTTTCCTGTATTTCCCTATTTGCTTCTACCCACAGACTGACTTGAGCTTTATACTTTGGCCACACGATTTTCTGGAAACAGACTTTCTGCTCCACATTTGTACTGCATTTGACACAAGCAGGGATGAAACATCCCTGCCTAAATGCCATGACCACAGAAACAGTTAATCACAGTGAGAGTTTGGCAAGGAAGTAGATCATACAAGGCCAGAAAAGCAAAAATCCTACTACTCCAGTAGCACTTGTCTATGTGGTAGCCATCCAGAACAAAAGGAAAAAAAACCAGTATCTATTAATGGAAATAATGAAATTATGTGGGGTCAAAGCAGCATTGTTCATTAGTCCTCTCAAGGGCCAGCAAGATATTGTGGATGTTAACATCAGTACCCAGAATCTCTAATCCTGAGTTAAGTAAGAGATTACCATTTTATAAAGAAGGGCTAAAGTCTACAAGACTGCAACAGAAAGTTAGCTGGCAACTTCAGCTGTACCCACCTTCTGTTTTCTCTCTTTCTCTGATTCAGAGGCAGAGTGTTCTGGTGTGGGGGCAGGAAGTGTTGTGACATGTGGGTCTGGCTCTACCACTGTACATCTACCCTGCTTTACCTCGGCGTAGATGTGATCAGCTAAAAATGGTTCTTCTCGGGATAACTCAGCAGGCTGTGCGGGCTCAGCTGAAGCTGAAATTGAAAATTTGCAAGTTAGGTAAGATTTTGCCAGAAATGCTATCAACACATTTATGTTACAGTTGGACTCAATTATCTTAAAGGTCTTTTTCAACCAAATGATTCTGTGATTTGGTGGTCATCAAATGATCATATAATTAAGGGTTTGATTCTACACTCAACACAATAAAGAATATCTTCCAAGTATGTGCTTAGTGTCAAGCCTCTGAGCAGGTCCTTTGTCATTTTATTTGGGGTCAGGATTGGATATTTACCTTTCTCAATTTCTACAATATCTTGTCTGTTCAGTGTAGCTTGAGGACCCAACTGGGTCTTACACAGAAATTGCTTAAGGCAATTGATGGTGTGCGTTCCAACAAGAGTACTCCTCCCAAATGCTCTCCAGTCGACCACGCAGATGCTTAGTGGCGGGTGCAGGAGTTCATTTTCAGGCAGCTCCTAGTGGAGGAGGACAGAGCAGCATTACTGACATACTCAAAATGCAACATGCATACAGCATAGGCAATATAGTTCTGTCCACAGTATTCTGCAAAATCTGGAAAGCCTCATCCTTAAGAATACAGAGTGGACAATATAGACTCTGCTACTGAGCTGAGTCCCACACTGTCATATACAAGCATTTGTTGTTAGAAAAACCTGGAAGAATCAGGAATGTTCAGAAGGAATGAACACTGGGTTGGAAGTTGTGAGTACTGATGCCACTGCTGCTTTGTTGAAGGCTATCGACCCTCAGTTTGCCAAACCATGAGATGTGGACCCTGGGTGCCTTATAGGATGAATGACAAACGGGAACACAGCTCTTTAGTTGTGTGACATAGAAAGGAAGCTAAAAATACTGTAGCAACCATACTTCAGTATTCAGGTTAGTGTTTTGATAAACATTTGTCTTACAAATAAACTTCTCTGATGCTAGCAACTAGAGCAAATCAAACAGATTTTTTCTTTCTGATGCTGATCTTAGAGTACCAGCTCTTATAATCCAGTCAACTGGTGATCATTAAATTTCCAGTCCATAACAACAAGTGTTACAGTATGAAAAGGTTCAGAGCTCACGAGCCAGAAATAACCCGATAACACACAAAGGAAAATTGAAAGATTTGAAAGAAAACAAAGGAAGCTTAGCACTACCCTGCAAAATGGGAAAGGAGGAGGAAAAAAGTACTAAAAATATCCCTGCTGTCTGCCCACAAGTTAGAGCCTATCAGTAGAAATTTGATTGCAACATATTTTCTTGGCTACTTGAGACATAAGATGAGGAACTTCAAATTCTTTTATCATACAGTTGTAGTGTGTCTTTTAAAGCATTTTCAAATCAGTAGCTTATGCATCAGAGCTGAAGTCCCTTAGCATTTAATCAAGACACAGAGGAAATTATTTGCAGGAAAGGAAGGAAATTAGTAATTAACACCTAACCAGAGAATGCACAGGCAAGGAGCAGCATGCTGTACGCACCACTTCAAACCAGTCTGCAAGGCCACTGAAATTGGGATTTTTCTTGTAGCTCTGGATGACAGAGGATTTTACTCCTTTCCCTGCACATTCAATGAGAACCTGGGGGCGATCTACAGAGAGGAGCTGGACTTTCTTCAGCTCTCGGACACCCCAGAACAGGACCTGTTGTGAGCAGAGAGAGAAACATCAGCAGCCTGCAGAGACACCTCAGTCTGGGAGAAGCCACTGCTGAGATCCCATCACATTGTATCCCTTTGGGAATGCAGGGAAAAAAACAAACAATTTAAAACTGGTACCCAATAACCAACAGGGTTATGGTGGAAGTTAAAGCAATTAATAACATACAACTGCTGCTTTATACAGAACTTCTTTTGGGGGTGGGGGGGGAGGATGAGAGATGAGGACGGATACCTTGAAGAGAGGGGTGGGGCAGCAAGAGATGGTTACATTATGGTTGGTGAGAGAAGCCATGGGTCTCATGAACCTGAAATGAAGACTGGAACGCAAACGGAGCACAGAAGGCTTTGTGGACAGCTTGAATGCTGGCAGGACTGAGGACTTGTGACTCAGAGAGTAGCAAGGAGCACTGGAGGGGAGCGAGGATTGGTGACATCCTGCTCTTGTTGCCAGAGGTTCCTGGTTAATACTGGGGCACACTTATGTAGTTATAATGGCTCCATGGCCATTTCCACCAGTGTGAGAGATAGCTTACAGTATCTTAACAAAAATACTTGTGTTCTATTTATTCTGTATTATTTCCTTGCTGGATACCTTCCAGAGTTCACTATATATTTACAAACGCTCCAACTAGAAACCTGTTCTCATAGCAACTAAACTGTCTGGATCTAGATGCAATTTCCCTGATTTTAAGGTGCCCAAGGTATGAGGCTGAGGAGTGGAGTTGTCATGGACTCCCTCCAGGACCAAAGGAGATAGAGGTGCACTTCCAAAACATAATTTAAACTAATTAAGGTTGGAATCACTCTCAAGGGTGACTGCTCTGCTCAGCTGTCCAAACAAGAAGCATACAGCGAGGATGCTTCTAAGCTGGGTGCCTTCGAGCTACTTGGGCTGAATATCACAGCAGTGTAGAATAGGAACTGTACAAACAGCACAAGGCAATCCTACTGCAGAAGCAGTGGGAAGGTCTCCATAGCACAACACTTAGAGGAACACCTAAAGTTAAGATTTAAGTTGTCCATTTAGCATCAGCAGAGTAGTTTATGGACTTATTTACCTCACAATGTCAGGTGTAAAAAAAGAATACTACTAACAAAAACTATTTCCTATGTACAGAAAACAATAACTTAACTAAATGATATAGCAAAGCTAATAATAGTCCTCTCCTTTTCATCAGATCATCTTGATCTTTGAAGGCAAAGCTAGAACTGTTTCTGGGTTCCCAGATGAGTATTTCTGGGAAAGGGCCACCAGGAAACACCAGCAAGGCCTGACTTGCCACAGTAAATGGGGCAAATAAGTAGGTGGTGTGAAGGCTGCAATAATGACAGGGAGCAGTGAGGCTGGGCAGCTTCCAGGCATTACACTGACAGGAAAAGCTATTTTATTTCTCTGTTTTCTAACATAGGGGGACTTTGGGTCCAAATGGTGCAAGACAGGACATTAGAGAAGTTGCAAACATTTTATGACAGGTAGGTGACATCACTTGGCTGAAGTTTGGGACCCAGAAAAGACCTGGTAGGTGGCTGATGATGAACTTCACCTTCAGGGAGGTCAGCTGCAAGGGGAAGCTCTCCATCTCCTGCAGACTGGGCTGCACAGAGCACAGGTCCATCAGCCACTCTCTGCCATGGGTGCAGTCCCATCCTGGCAGGCCAGGATTGAGATGTGGCCTTTGCTGGCCTCATGTGGAAGCGCTGTGTCACATGCCCAGCCTCAGAGAATAAATTTGACCTGAACTTACCATATTTTTGGATCCATATGCTACTTTTATGTGATTCCTGTTTATCAGGATTTTAAAATCATCATCCCTTACTGTTACAGTTCATGAAGAAAATAAAAGGAGCTGAGATTTTGAAATGGAAACATTATGAGTAACTCACCTCCACTCTGTACTTGCTTAAAACAGGTCGGATGTTGGCTGGGACTGGGTAAATCTGACCAATATCTGGTGGATCCAGTGGGGGAAGTCTGTCTGGATCTGTCTCAGGAATCTGAAAAATTAGGCAGTCATAACTTAGGCTGATTTTTGGGAGAATAAAACCAGTATAAGAAGTGTCTGTGGATGGATCAATTTAATTCAGTTTTACAAGACAGGTTGCAGAGCAGACAGGTTGTGCTGTGAGAGGAATGTGACCTGGATTGCTATCTCTCATGCTGTGATGCTAAAACATTTGGCAGGAAGAGTATTCAATAGACTGGGTTTATGTACCTTTCTGAAAAAAAAGTCTCCTTTGTCCTACCAGGACATAGTCTGCCCTAAAGACATGCATGTACTGAAGCATGGTAATTCTATCTACTAAAAATGGAAAGTACAGTAATTCTACTTAACAAAAATCCTGAGCAAAACTGCTTAGAAGACTTTCACAGGAAAACTCTACATCTGATTCCAGTTTAAAAAAGGCTGGTGAACAGACAGTACACATCAGCTAAACCATCCATTTGTCAGACAGACATAATGCTCTTCAGCCCCTATGGAATAGCGCTCCTGCATTAACGCATGCTGTCAGCATTTGAGAACTGGCGTATCACATCTCCAGTGTTAGGGCTGGGTCTTCTCTGTGCAGCTACTAAAATCTTGTGGCAGGCAGCACTTATGTCCTTTGCATGTGATTGCACATAAGCCTGCCCCATGTTCAGGAGCTAATTTGGGTGTACACAACTGCCCTGTGCCAGGTGGCTGGGAGGAGAGCCCGCTCCACCACAGCTCTGAAGCTTGACCATTGCTGTGCTCCAGGCTCTGCTGCCCATTGGGTTTGCCTTCTGTCAGAAAGCTCCCTGGTTTCATTTCCCAACCCCTTCCTAATTTTCAACAGTCTATTTATTACCTTCTCAGTTCCTGCAGGGCAGATCTGAAGACTGGCCTGATTTAGCAAATTTCTACATAGAACAGTTGAAGCCAGGACCTGGTGATCAGTCCCACCAGAAGCTCAGGCTGTGATGGCAGAGAACAGCAGGAACATGGGTTTCACAGATGAGCTAACAACCTGCAGGCAGAGCTCTCCTCAGCTTTCTTGTGAAGTTCAGTACCTAAAGCGTACTGCATATATGGCTTCTGGGAAAAAGGAAACACAACTTCTGGAGTGCCTCATTGTTCCTAAGCTAACTTGCTGCTGTTGAAAGGTGAAGCATCTGAGATACAGCTCTCAAAGGACTTGTAAAGCTAAAGTCTTCTACTTCTTCTAACTAGGCCATCTGTCTGTTATCTGCAGCTATGTACAGTTGTGTGGGAGTTTAATTAGCATAAGGGAGAAAGGATATCTTTCCTAGTACCTTGTAGGTGAAGGAGATGGGTGGAAAATGGATCTTCTAGCATAGCACCTACAGCATGAGTATTCACATAGTTAACAGCAATAATTCACATGCACATATTTACTGCATCTTACCAGTGAAAAACTTAAAGCAAGTAATTTAATGATTTCGTGCAACTTGGGGCCAGAGATCTACGTCCAGTTTTGTTGTTCCCCAAGGTATCTGGCTTCTATCAGCCATTTCTCTGATGGTGTTTAAAAAGCCAAACAGAAAAACAAAACTTTGTGAACAATACCTGCCTGTCTAGAAATCCACTGGTTTCTTTATTACACAGTGAAACTCTGTTATTTTCAGTGAAATCACCTTGGTATAACTCAGAAAGGACTTTGCTTCATGGCCACAGTGAAACTGCACAGAACAAGAGGTGAAAAATGATCTAACACTCAAATGACAGTAGAAGAAAATACCCACAAACTGTGTTTTCAAGGGGATTTTGCTCTTTTGATTTAAAAAAAATAAAAATCAGTAAATCCTAAACCCACTTTGAGCAAAATCAAGATTCCTAGTATTTATTAGTCTGTACTTTTTCAGTCTACTATTTTTCTAAATGCCAGGATGCTTTCTTATAAGAATAATTTTATCCCTCCAGCAAGACTCAGCACAATGACATTCATTTTGAGAAAGGAGCTTTCACTTCTTATACAACGCTTCTTCAGCTGAACCAAACAGTACCTGCAGATCAGAGTTATTGAGCGTGGTACATCATGGGAAAGATTATGGGCTCAGAATGAGAACAAATTAGTCATGACAGATTTTTGTTTCCATCCTCACACAGAGCATCATCAAGAAACCCCTGATGCTGGAAGGAGCCACCGGCACAACAGCTCTGGGAGTGCTTTCAAGTTTGGCAGATGTTTACTTTTTTTTTTTTCCTGAGGATTTCTTTAATGTCCATATTGTTATTATCTGCCATGTGAGATGCTCCAGTGTTGTCACTGAGAAGAATAATACGCCTCAGGACTGCCTCTGATAAGAAGGA